AAAAAAAAAAAAAAAACCATTTCAATTTTCATAAATCGTTGCCGAAATCGTTAAGATATTATGATAATATATGAGCTGCCAAGACAAGCTGACGAAATCAATGGACCGAAAGGAGGCAACTGATTGCCATCAAGAGATTCTCTTAAATGATGGAGCATATTCACTTAAAAAGCAAGGACTTCACTTTATTAATCCTATCTATCTATATCTTATCACTATATCTTATTATAGAGTGCCAGAGGGATGGATATATGAAATTTCATTCATCCAATCATATGGATACTATAAGTTGAGTTCGAGTAGAAACTCTCATCGCAGAGGAACTTTGATGCAGCCAGCCTCTTAACTCCTTCCACTCATCTCTTTGTGGAGGAACATTATGCTCATCCAGCTATATCAAATTGAGCTCAAGAGACGAGCCTAAAGGCAAAGCGATTGAGCACTCAAGTCTGAATATGGCCGAGAAAGACACACATACATACATAAGCATATGTATATATGTTCACATAAATGTGAATCAATTTGCATTAGAAAGCGATCTCTCATTTGAATTTTACAATAAAAAAGAAAAAATTGCATTCGATTAAAAACTAATTTTCGATTTGTATGCGCCAGGTGAAGCGAACCAGGAGCTGCGGCCAAAAAACTCAAATGGTCTGTGCTGAATATGCACAGCTCAAATTATATCTGTTAACAGTGGTAAACCTGTCCAATTTAGCCTGATTAACAATTTCATTAAAAAACTTAAATGATAATCCATTACCACAACAAAGAGGACTGCAGCCAATCAGAACATTATTATATATCATTCACATTATGGGTATAGTACACGCAATTTATGCAATTGCGACTCACTCATAAATCGTCCATCATAAATCACTCAACAAATGAGATCACTGAGTCAAAAGGAACGGCTCTAACACTCCCACGAATTACTCAATTCAATGCACTCGCACGCAGTCCACGCAGACAGAGACGCTGAAAGCAAACAAAAGGAACGAAAAAATCACTCAGCTCTGGCAGGGCGAAATTAATTTTGAACAACGCTTCGATCACACACAGACAATTGGGTGGGCAACAAAAAATGCACTCAAAACGGTTGGCGAAACACGCGCAGCATTTGGCAGGTGCCGTTATTAAATTTACCGCAAAATGCCTAAAAATAGGCAGCAAGGAAATAAACAGAATTTAAAGCGGGCCATCGAAAAGGGAGAAACGAGACAACAATAACAACACCAATGACGGCGGCACGCACACAGACAAAGCAAACTAAATTTCCGCAATTTTTTTTCAAGTGTGTTACTGTGTGGTATTTGTAGGTCTGTGTGTGTGTGTGTGTGTGTTAGCCAGGCTACATAAATGTGCTTAAATGATTAATAACTTTTGTCACTCCTTTCTCACACACGCGAATATCGCTCACTGCGGCGCGGTTTCAGTTCCACTTATAAAAAAAAAAAAAAAAAAAAAAGTATCAACAACAACAATGAAGAGCAGCTGGTGTAAAAGTCTAATAAGCGCCCTTTCTTGTTGGCTCCACACGTGTGTTTTGCTTACGTTATTTACGCTATTTTCGAGAGCTAACTGTTAACTGTTACGTTGCGGAAAGCGCACGACAAGTGCGAACACTGCGAAAGCCGGTCGACGACTGTGCCAGTTGCTCTGCTGCGTGGTGAGTTATAAAGCAACACAAAACAGTGTCGCCTGTCGGCAGTCGGCAGTCGGCAGTCGGCAGTCGCTCGTGCTTAGCCACTCAACCGCTCGGCTCGGCAGGCTCGAATCGTTGCACCCCGTCTCGGCCCGTCTCCCTTCCACTCGCCATGTCTCGCTTCGCTTCGCCTCGCCGCGTCTCTCGCATCGTCTCGCCTACTCTTTCATGGCGTCCCGTTTGAGTCGCTGTGTGGCTGAGCCGCTGCTTGACACGTGCAAAGCGCTTTGATTTGTTTGTTTTGAGTGGGCTTTGCTCACTGCACGACAAGGAGAGGAGAGAGGACGGTACGCAAAGGCGCAGGCAAAAAAGCCGGCATAACGTCGTTACACTTGCATTTCCCCCAAAAAAACAACACACACAAAACAAACAAAAACAGAAGAAAAAAAATTGAATTGAAATAAAAGAAAACAATATAAAAAGAATTACACTCTGTGGTGAGTTTTTAAATACGCCGCAGGCCAACAGACAATAGCAATATTTACTCTAAAAGCCATTCAAAGCGGAGTGTTTAAATCAATGTTATCGCAATCACATACACACACACACACACACACACACGCATAGATGCATGCTATGTTTGTTTTAAATTATATTAAAAAAGTTGAGCGAGACAACAATCACTTTAACAACTCTTCTACTGCTTCGCTCCCTCCTCCTCAGTCAGCTTGCTCTTGCGCGCTTACTTGTGATCGTTGTTGTTGTCTCTGTCTTTCTCTTTTAGTGTGTCGGCGCTTTAGGCTTAACGACAGCCATTACGATTGCCAGCTAACGGTACCTTCAGCCCATTGGATTGCAATACAATGACTTCCTCTCTGTTTCTCTCGTTCTCTAGCTCTGTAGGTAAGCCTCATTTAAATTACACAGATTATTTCTCACTATAACTGTTTCTTTTCCTCACGTTATCTTGCAGTATTGCAACTTATGATCGGCCATAACGAATTGTCTTGAAAGCAGCAGCCTTATTTGTACGCTTTACCTTTTTCTCTCTCACTCTTTCACGGCAAATCGGCAGAACTCGTTTCGTCTCATTAGCTCGTTTTTTGTTCTTTTTGATTTCTAATCTCAGCAAACTTTTTTCATACCTCTTTAAGAATATTGTCGCTCATACGATAGATCGAAGTAGGCGTATTTTCAAGCGAAATTTTTTTGTAAATCTAGTTAGCTTTTGGGGCGAGCCCAGGCTGATACACCCAGCCCGATTTCATATTATATTCATTCCGTCTCTGGCTCTCAAACAAACAACATCCAAAATTCAAAAATGGAAAATTCGGAAAAATAAACAAAATTATAATATTTGTAAAAATGCTGTGAAAAAGCATTATTTGGGAACAAACAAATTTAGCTCGTTTTTTTGTTATTTTTGGTTTCGTATCTCTTTTAAAAATCTTGTCGCTCAAACGATATTCGAAGTAGGCGTATTTTCAAGCGAAATTTTTTTGTAAATCTAGTTAGCTTTTGGGGCGAGCCCAGGCTGATACCCCCAGCCCGATTTCATATTATATTCATTCCGTCTCTGGCTCTCAAACAAACAACATCCAAAATTCAAAAATGGAAAATTCGGAAAAATAAACAAAATTATAATATTTGTAAAAATGCTGTGAAAAAGCATTATTTGGGAACAAACAAATTTAGCTCGTTTTTTTGTTATTTTTGGTTTCGTATCTCTTTTAAAAATCTTGTCGCTCAAACGATATTCGAAGTAGGCGTATTTTCAAGCGAAATTTTTTTGTAAATCTAGTTAGCTTTTGGGGCGAGCCCAGGCTGATACACCCAGCCCGATTTCATATTATATTCATTCCGTCTCTGGCTCTCAAACAAACAACATCCAAAATTCAAAAATGGAAAATTCGGAAAAATAAACAAAATTATAATATTTGTAAAAATGCTGTGAAAAAGCATTATTTGGGAACAAACAAATTTAGCTCGTTTTTTTGTTATTTTTGGTTTCGTATCTCTTTTAAAAATCTTGTCGCTCAAACGATATTCGAAGTAGGCGTATTTTCAAGCGAAATTTTTTTGTAAATCTAGTTAGCTTTTGGGGCGAGCCCAGGCTGATACCCCCAGCCCGATTTCATATTATATTCATTCTGTATCTGGCTCTCTAACAAACAACATCCAAAATTCAAAAGTGAAAAATTCGGAAAAAAAAATGAAATTATAATATTAGTAAAAATGCTGTGAAAAAGCATTATTTGGGAACAAACAAAATTTTGTAGTTTCGTGAAAAAAAAAAAAAAAAAAAAAAAAATTACGAAAATGTGAAAAATTTGGTTTGTTATCGTTTTAAAATCTAAGCACAAAAAATCATTTCGGAAAATTTAAAGCTTTTAAAATAGGCAAACATGAAGCGAAAAAAAATACGGGAAAGCAAAAATAAGGTAAGGTCTTGTGCCTTCTGTGTGTAATAGGCCAGTCCAACTAAACTAAGGCTTTGCCATTGCAGAAAAATGTCTCAAAAAATATTAACATAAATTGAAAAAAGCAAAAATGTTGAAAAATAGCAGTAGAAAACGCAATATTAAAAATACATATTAGACTTGAATCATATATCATCTCGAATCCATCTGATTGAAGTTAACACGCATCAGTTGCGCAGCTACAGTCCGACTTTTAAACTGAACACCTTTTCCACACGACTTTCGGAAACAAAAGTAACGGAACATTGGAAACTATGAAACTCGGATGAAGCAAAAATACACGCACCTACTCAATCAATAATTACCTGCAGTGACCTACAATGACTTACCAATACTTACCAGACTTACCAATAATCAAGAATCACGAATCACCTTACAAACCGCACATGCACGGGTAATTCGCCTAACACGTGACGGCGCGCGAGTACGCGCGACCGATTCACGTGAGCTATGCGAATTTGCCATCATGGATCATATGTATAAAAAAAAAAAAAAAAAAAGTAGGTAAGCTCACAGCGCCAGTTGCACTTCAATATTCTATAGATTGTATATTCTCAATTGGATTCTCTGCGTTCTAATTACAGTTAATCGGCCAATGCGATTTCAAGCTTACGGTACCGCGACCGCACCACCTGAACCAGACATTACCATTCCACTACGCGTCGCCACATCATCCATACCACCTATACTCAAATCGTCTTAGGTTGGGAATACGCAAATATTTTGGAACGGCTAATGTTGCTTGAAGCACACTATAGAGATCTTTCTACTAACCGCACATACAACGCCACACTATACCACGCCACACCAAACCTCACCACACCGCACCACACGGTCGTCGCGCAGGATAGCGTTCTTGAAAGCGAGGTTGGCCTATCCGGTTTGCTGCACTAGTCAATCGTATGAAATATATGCTTACCTTTCAAATATATATATCCTACACTGTGAATGCATGCAAAGAACGTAAACTGCAGTTTTCATTTCCACAGGGTGGGGTGGGAGTGGGTGAGTGGTTGAGTGGGTGAGAGGTGGGGTAAGTGCCTAGTGTAATAATTAGTGCAGCTTCAGGCTCTGTCAATGTCTAAAAGGACTCTCACATGCGTGCTAAGGAGCGTGGGTCACTAGAGAGGTTGTGAGCGAGTGTGAGAGGAGATGGGGGAAATAGAACGGATCGGAAAGCCACGTAGTAGAGGAGAGGAGGCTCGACAGAGTCAGGACAGGATTGAGTTTAGAGAACATGAAAAATAAGATTTTGTAAGGTTTATGAAATGAGCTGACGTGTTGCTCTCGGCTGTGCTGATGGAGCGACCCTCGCTAGAGATTTACCCACTTGCACTTGGCATCAGCTCTATTCGGGCATCGGCCGTTTGGGGCGCTGAGTGCTCGGCGTGGGCGTGGCATATGGCGACAAGCCTGGCAATGGGCAGACAATGGGTTAAGTTGACACAGTTGCATGGCCAGCGAGACGGACAGTTGACTAATGGAGGATAGGAGAGAGGAGAGTGGAGAGTGGAGAGAGGAGAGAGGAAAGGGTAAAGGAAGCGAGTGACATTTATGCTGACACCAAAAATCATCATCATCAGCAACAACAACAGCAGCTACAAAAGAGGCGAGCCACGCCCCCACTCACGCAACGCCCAACTGGTGGTGGTGGTGCTGCTGCCTCTGCTGCTTGGCAACTTGACTCGCAAATATTTGCCAGCTAGGCAAACTTGTGGGTCGCAGCTCTGCTCTCGGCAGGGGGCAGGAGGCACGAGGCAGCAGGCAGCAGGCAGGAGGCGGTAGGCGGTAGGAGGAGCCGTGGCAGCAGAGAGGTGTCGCATGCGTTGTGTTTCCGCTCCAGATCATAAACAAAGCGAAAGCGAGTGCCAATACGAGTTATGCACATTTCATGTTTCATGCTCCCAGTTCCATGTTCCATTCCCGCCCGTTCCGCCCGCGACACCTGACTAACAGCGTCGGAACGCCCGCTGGCAGTTGCCGTTTGCAGTTTGGGCTGCCAGCTCTGTTTCAAGTTGTTGTTGTTTCCGTCCCCAATGGCAGCAACAATTAAACGCAGCTGCAGCAAGCGCTGACTGCCAGGCAGGGTGTATGCGACTAGCAGATACCCCCTAATCTCAAATGTGTGGTAGACGGCGCTAAGGAAGCGCAAGAGAACGGGAGAGGCATGGGCTGGAATACCGAATTCAATATAAATGCCCTGAAGCGGCAGCAGAGTACACTCAACTAGGAAATACCCTGTAAGCCAAGACACAAGTTCAATTAAGCTTAAGCAGTTGTCTCAAATGACACTGACATATTTTAATACTACGATTGCACATAGATATGTCTGCTGGAACCAAGGGTATACCCAACTTTGAATACCCTGTAAGCAGCGACAACATACCTCTTCATTCGACAAGCCCATGGGAAACAGGGCATACCTGATTCGAATATACCCTGCGAACTAATTGCTTCATATCTCTTGCTAATTGCAATGCGAATACACCGCATTTCATTATGTTTACAGGGTATTTAGCAACTGGCCAGCGGCTACATTTTGGCAACTAATTGAAATGCCCTCGTTTTGCGCACAAAAACAACTGACTTGAAATGCAGACAAAGCCAAAATGTGAACAAGAGAAAGGAATAGACAGGAGAGAGAGAGACAGAGCGAGAGGCAAAGAGAGAAAGAGATGATGCATTAAATATATGTGACCTGCAACATTTTTTGCGACACAATTTTCATCATTTTCACCTTAGTTTCCACGTGCTAAAAAAATCTGCTCGAAAAGCAATTTGTTTTAGTTGTCCACAAATTGGTTTTTCATATTTTTCTTAGAGCTTCAAGCGACACAGACTTCAATTTATTTGATAATGGAATTTAAATCAAGCACAAATGCCCAACTACAAATGTAAGAAAAGCAACTGTAAATTCACATATACGAGTTGATGATGGATTGATGGATGAATGATAGATTTAAATTTCGTGTACGTGGGTATTCTGGATTGTGCACTCTCTCACCTACATGTGTATCTGGAAGCCTTGCAAATGGTGAGCTGAAACATACTTGAAATTCATCATCACAGAGCTTAACAGGGTATACATATATCCACTAAGCTCAGTCAACACACTTATAATTTGCAGGGTATTTAAAATCAATCGTATTTGCATCTCTTCTCAGACTTTACAGGGTATATGCATATACATTAATTACTTCAGTGATTGACAGTATATGTCGATCGACTTTTTACAGGGTATTTGCGAGTCAGTCATGTTTCAATTCAAGCATAAGTTCACTAACATTTTCTAGGGTATGCACGATACTTGAGTGCATTAATGAGCGTGCCGGGCCACAGTTCAGCCAAATGGGGGCGGCAAATAGCATTCGTGTGGGAGGGGGGGCGTGACAGCTAAAGAAATTCCGAATTTCAGAAAATCGTAAAAAAAAAAACATTTTTATTTCACTAAATTGAAAAATGTATAAATATAACAACAAAATTCAGATGAGAGATGAGTGTGTGACTGATGCGTATGTGTATGCTTGTGTGTGTGTGTGCGTGTGTGTGTATGTGTGTGTGTGTGTGTGTGTGTGTAGGCCAACTGTTGAGTCTGAGCCAAATGCCGCTGCCGTTGACGACAAATTCGACAGTTGCAATTCGTGTGCCGCGACTCGAACAACGCGAAACCAAAACCAAAATAAATTTATAATTTCATTGTTGTTGTCGATGCTAAATGTTGTTGTCGCAGCCGCTGTCGCTGTTGCTGTCGACGTTTGTTGCCTTTATCATTCGCGCCCATTTAAATGGCCGTAATCAAATGACAACTTGTTAAACACAACGATTAAAAACGCAACCCCAGAAATCTTTCACGAAATCACCAAACAAAATAATTTATCAATTAAAAGCAATTTCCACGTTAATCACTGCTTGCCGCAGTAGAGGGAAAGCGGCGAAAATAACCATAAAAAAATAACTAAAAAAAAAAAAACAAACAAACAAACAATCGAGATGCCAGCAAGAAAAAAAGTAAACATGATTGCCAGAGTATTACAGGGTATACGCATTGGGGCTGTGGCAGTGGGGAGGGCGGAGGGGGTTAGGGAGGGGAGAACTTCGACGGGCTGCATAATTAAAAATTAATTTAATACAGAATAAATATGTGCATATGACATGTGAGCGGCTGTGTGTGTGTGTGCGAGAGAGAGAGAGGGAGAGAGAGAGAGAGAACAGCGTGTGCGAGCATTTTATCCAAATGAAAAGAAAAATTTATTTTATTTTATTTTTTGTATAATTAAAATTTGTATATAAACTTTCTATTTATTTATTTTTATTGCTGATTATATTTCTACAAATTAAAATATATTTTGCATACATTAAAGGGGAAACATTCAAAGCCCACAAATCGTGCCACACTTTTGTGGAATGCCCCCAATTCACATTGGGGCGTGCCAGGGGCAGAGGAGGGCGTGCCGAGGTGGGGTGCTACTGGGGTGCGTTCTCTAGCCATCTATCTTTAGAGCGCGCCAAGCCTCAGCCGACGCGACCTATAAATAAACGCCATATACAACCGAAATATGCGTCGCTCGATCGTCTCTAGCTGCTCTAATAAAATTGAAATCACTCGGCGTTGCTTCACTCTTCTTCTTACTGCCTGTTTACAGTTACATTCCGAGGAATAAATAAAAATTGTTTTAGAAATAAGTCAGAGTCATAATTTCAATGAGATTAAATGCAAAATGTACTAAATCATAGGACGGAGGAGCAGAAAATAAATTTGCAATCAGAAATGGACGATTCAGCTATAATGAGTGATGATAATGAATGATGAATGATAGATATTGAATGATGGTTTCGGATAGAGAATGCTAATAAGTATTAATAGTGAATAATGAATGGTGGAAATTGAACGAAAGTCAATATAATGAGTGATAAATAACAGAGAACTGATGATAATGACTGATGAATGATGAGATGGATGAATTAAGAGTAGTGAATAGTAATGACTGATGATCATGATAATGAATGATGTCAATAACGATGATAATGCATGGTGATAATGGTAATAAATGATGCTAATGAGTAATGATAATGAATGAAAGTCATGATAATAAGTGATGCATGACTGAGGAGTGATGATAATGATAATAATGAAAGAATCGATAACGATAATATATGATGATAATGATAATGAATAATGTGATTATAATCATAATAGTAATATATGATGAATGATGATAATAATTATGAGTGATTATGTTGTAATTATATTCAAAAGTGATAAACATAATGAGGCATGCATAATGAATGATGAATTATGATATATGACATAATTATCGCAAGTGATAATGATAATGAATGATGATAGCAATACGAATAAGACCAGAGGGGCGAAAGGGAAGGCAGACAGAGACCGACAGATACAGATAAAGTTAATGATAATCACATCAAGCTGAGTTCAGTGAGAGGACATCATACATACTTACAGAGTGAAAGAAAGTAGCATGCTGAAGCTGGCATTACTCCCGGGATGGACTTGTCCCATCTCAGCTCACTCGCAGAGCCTGCAACTGATTGCCTGTGCAGCAGCCGAGAGCAGCTGGCAGAGAGGAGCTCGCAACGTTGATGTGCACCTGTTGAGGTGCGCGCGCTCTCGTCGTTTGAGGCATTTAACGTTGAGTGTCTTTTAATTGCCAGCTGTTGACAGGCGGAAAGAAGCAGGGGCAGAGGCAGGGGCACTGCCACCCTTTCTCTGTCGAGACCCAAGCATCGGGCCATGTGATTAATGAGCCATGGACTCGGAATATACCAGAGCAATTAGAATACAATTAGCAGCGCCACTAATGAGCAGCCACTGCCCCTCCTCTTCTCTCTTTTGCGCAGACCAGGCGCCAGCAGCAGCAAGGCAGGAGCCGGCAGAGGGACACACAGGAGCAGCCAAAGGCGCAGCAGCAGCAGCAGCAGGAGGAGCCGGCGCCAGCCTACCGAGTGGAGCACTCGGAGCTCTACGGGCGCTACCTGGTGGCCAACCGCGCGCTGCCCGCCGGCGAGCAGCTCATCAGAGAGCAGCCCCTAGCAATCGGACCCTGCGTCAGCTGCGAGCCCGTCTGCCTGGGCTGCTACCAGCCGGTCCAGCTGGGGCCGGAGCAGTGCCGCTGCAAGGGCTGCGGCTGGCCGCTGTGCGCCGCCGACTGCCGCGGACTGGGGCAGAGCAGCGGGCACAGCCGCGAGGAGTGCGAGCTGTACGGCCGGCGGCGGGCGCAGGCGGCTGAGCTACTCAAGGAGAGCACCTCGCCCGACGCGGTGCGGGATCTGTACGAGCTGGTGCTGATAGTGCGCATCTTGCTGATGCGGAAGCACCAGCCGGAGAAGTACGCCAAGGTACGGCTGATGGAGTCGCACACGGAGCAGAGGCGCGAGAACCTCACGCTCTGGCAGCACTATGAGAAGAAAGTCGTGCAGCGACTGCTCCACGATTGGCAGCTGGCCCAGGAGCTGAGTGGGCTGGAGCCGGCGGAGATGCACGAGATCTGTGGCATTCTGGATGTGAACTGCTTTGAGATTGGGCAGCGAGGGGGCAAGGCGCGTACGCTATATCCGAGCGCCTTTCTGCTCGCGCACGACTGCCGACCAAACACATCGCACACGGACGATCCACTGGACTACTCGATCATCCTGCGGACGTCCCGTTCGGTGCGCGAGCAGGAGACACTGACGCTCAGCTATGCGTATACGCTGCAGGGCACCTTGAAGCGTCGCACCTTCATCCAGGGCGGCAAGCTGTTCTGGTGCCAGTGCCAGCGCTGCGCCGATCCCCGTGAGCTGGGCAGCGACTGCAGCGACCTCGTCTGCAAAATCTGTCGAACAGGCAGCATTCGAGCCACAGAGCCGCTCAAGCAGGAGGCCGACTGGGCGTGAGTAGAAATCAACTTTGTTTCAATCCCACTCTCACAAAAACTTTCTCTCTCTCTGCCTGTCTCCCTCTACCCTTCAGCTGCGATCGCTGTGCTCATCGCATCGAGTCGGTGCAAGTGGAGCGCCTCTTGGATCACATCAATGAAGATCTCGAGTCCATCGATGTCCACGACATTCCCGCCTTGGAAAACTTTCTCATACGGTACGTCCCTCGATGCCTCTCACCTAGCGGAGCTCATCCAACAATACTCACCTCAATAACTTCTTTACTTATATCTGGATATACTCTTCAATATTAACTCTAACAGTAATTTCAGCAACTTGGTTAACTTTGCTCAAAATCAATGACAACTCACACTCAGCAGACACTTGCCGGCGGCTTCTTCCATCAAATCGCATCAGTCTAATACAACTTCTAATACATTGCAGACTCTTTCCCTGAGAGACTTTTAGCTTTGATTGACAGTCCTGTAGATCTACAAAGTCTATGACTGAAAGTCAGTTTGATCATCAGTGAGAACATCAATATGTCAGTGATTCCAAATCCTTCAATCAATCAAGAATCTAGGAAAGAGAGGAAATTAGAGATCACTCAGTGTAATTCATTGAATTGATCAATCTGTCAACTATTTACCAATTCAATCAGTGTGTCCATCAGTCAACTCCATCATCTATAAGCAGTTAATCAAAAGGAAAGAAGACAGTCAATCGCCGTATGCTTTTATCACTGACTGATCAGAAATCATTTACGGTCAATCGATGATCGAGAAGATCATTGGGTCGATCGTCAAGCTAATCAATCAGCTTGTCAGTCAATAGTACATTGTTTCAATCATAGATTCGATTAGTTATGCTCTCCCTTTTAACTTGTCAATCAGTCATCAATCAGAGCGTATTGTTTATTATATAGAACAGAAAACTTCTTTTTTGTCTGTTCTACTATAACAATCAAATCATGACTGACAATGATTGATCTATGCGTCCACAAGAAGTGGGACCCAAAAAATTGCTTAATATTAACATTATGATTATAAGGAAGTCTCTCTCTATCTCTCTCGCTCTCTCTTCGTTCCGCCCATGGACCGTTTAATACAGCTTCTCACTAACTAAGTACTTATACTCATGGTTTGTATCAGCAACATTTGGGTCAAGGGTCAAGGGTCAAGGGTGACTCTGAGTTTGATAAATTGATTGAAGCCATTCGATTGTCCTATTTGTAGATATCGCGAGGTGCTGAGACCCAATCACTATCTCCTGCTGTCCGCCAAGTACTCGCTATGCCAGATTTATGGCCGTGTCGAGGGATATTTGCTGCCCGAGCTCTCGCCACAGGATATTGAGCGCAAGGAGCGCTACTGCCGCGAATTTCTGGCTGTCGTTGATATACTCGAGCCGGGTCTAACCCGACTGCGCGGTAAGTCAGAGACTCTAGAAATAACTAGAGACTAGAATAAGTGGGCAGAGTACCAGAAACTGAATCAAGAGTATGTAAGCCTTCACTGAATAATCAAGAGTATACAGAGTCTAGAGAGTGTAGAAAGGTATTTACCATTCAGTATATACAATAGATCCCGATTTTGAAGTTTCTATTACTTGGCTTCTATTATTCTATTAACTTGAAATATCGAGAGTGTACAGAAAGTGTATTTGAGTGTATTTGGATCTTCTGCGAACTCGCTCTTTATGTACCGAACCCTCATCCGTATCCTCTTCGTCTCTTGCAGGTCTCATCATGTACGAGTTGCATGCGCCGATCATGGTGCTCGCCCAGCTGGGCATGCAGAGCGGTCGCATGTCGCGCCAGGAGTTCCAGAGGCGCATCAAGGAGGTCGTGCGACTGCTCAAGGAGAGCGCACACATTCTGCAGCTGGAGCCACCCGGTTCTAGCGAGCACGAAATGGGCCGAGCCGCAGCTGATGCCTTGGCCAAAATAAATGCACAGCTGTAGGGCAGAGAGCCTGTACGAACTGGGCGACGGGCCGAATGGACTATATATATATATATATATGATGATGAATGATATTGATGGAATTGTAAAGTGTTTTGAAAAGACCTGAAAAGTAATAGAGACTTTGCTATATTTCAATTTGAGGAGTGCTTCGATTGGAATATTTGAGCAAGCTATGTAAACTCCCTGTTAACCTGCACCAGTTAAGGCCACTCTCCTGCTCATGCTCATTCCCGCACTGTAATACTCGTCTATCTCCATAATAATCTCCGAGAAAAAACTTCGGTGGCGGGTAACAATTTTTAATTAGCCAGCATTTTGCTTGGCGAGACTCGTTCCATTATCTCCATCAAATCGAAATGGCGAAACTGTAATCTCGTCTGTCGTCTTTTGTTTTTCTTTTTTTTTTTCCTTTCGCCTTTGTGCTCGCTCCGCAGTGGAAAGGTCTGGGCATGCCCGACTGGACTATGCCTTGGACAAAAAGCTGCAAGTGGAAAAGCACATATAAGATATACGATGTAAGCTTTTACCATATCATTCTTTCATAACATTCCATAACAGACTTAGGGGAACTTCCATGTGTTAGTAGTAGAGTAGGCAAGGAATGAGACATAAACTATAATGTCAAGTTTGCATATATCATATACAAAATTTGATGTCTATAAGTAGAAAACCAATATACCCGCTTGGCGCTGCTCTGCTGAGTGCGGCGCAAAAGTTTGAGTTCAACTCGGTTCAATTCAGGGTTCAGCTGTGCGAATCTTTCGGAGTTAAACTAATTGCGGAAACTCTGAGCGACAACAGCGCAGCGGAAGTGGACGCAGCTGCCACGCCCGCGCCCACGCCCACGCCCACCAATTTCGCATATTGTGCTTCGCCTTGTGCATTGATAGTTGACAGCAAGCTGAATGCTTATCGCAGTGTTAATTAATGCTTAGCTCTTTCTTGGCGTTGATATGGCAACGCCGAGCTCTGCCCCGCTCCGGCAGCTCTGCGTGCATTAGCTGACTGAGCAACTGTCCCTCATTACACTTGCACAAGTTTCATGAATTGTGAGTTTTAAATAGTAAGTTTTGCCTCTGCCCCAATCCCTGTCTTTACCTCTGCCCCGCTGTGGAATGAAACTCTGTAAGTGAATTCCAATTGGAACCGAATATCATGCGGCAAACCAATTGGAGTCTATTCAAAGTGCGCTCTAAGAAAAAACTCCCAGCTCTTGCCGAGCATATCAATTCCAGCTGCATTCGCTATACTCGCATAGAGCGGGGATAAATACGAGCTAGATAACTTCAATGTAAAGCTTACGGCATTTGTCTGCTCCTCTTGCCTGTCCATTTAACTGTCGCTATTGCTGTCTTCCCTTTATACACAGCTGGTCTTCCCATTGGACTTGTTCCAATTAGACTGCATTAAGCTGTCGGCAACAGGTGGATAACGGGTTAAATGCAGTGTCTATTCAGTTGCTGAACGGAAGGGCAGTTTAGACAGTTAGATACGCGTTCACACACATATAGAGTGAAGAAGAAGAAGAAGACGAAACAGGAAAAGAAGAAGATGAAGGCGACGAAGTACATGTATAAGAAGAATAAGTAGAACGACTCAGAAGAAGACAGAAAGAGAAGAAGAAGGAGCTGAAGAAGAAGAAAACGGAGAAGATAGAGAAGAAGAAGAGAGCAAAGTAAAAAGAGAAGGCTGCCAGCTCAGCTCCACTGGACCACATGCTTTGCCTTTATATGTAAGCATATGTGTGAGTTGGTATGTTTGTATTAGAGTCTCTCAATGCATGTGTGCATGTGTGCATGTGTGTGTTTGTGTTTCTTACAAAGGCATAAATGAAAGAAAAACAAGAAACGGCAACAACTAAAAGCGTACGATAAATATAAATTGCATTGTGCAATAATCTTCAAAGTGCAACAAAGTAAAACCAACAACAACAACAACAACAACAACAATGTCATGAAGAAGAAGCTGAGGCAACACAAAACACAATGAGTATCTCAGCAGGAAAGACAGAGAGAGAGGGAGAGAGAGAGTGAGCGAGGTGGGCAGAGGGAGCGAGGGAGGGACAGGGCTAGAGATAGAAGCAGCTGAAAGCTGGTAGCTAGTGGGTGCGAAGCATAAAGCCACATAAAAAGCAAGTCGAGGCAGCCAGGCAAGCAGAAGGAAATGCGCCAACAACAATGGGAAGAATAAGAAGGAGAAGAAGGAGAAGGAGAAGAATTCTGCTTGGGCAGGATATAAGCGCACACACACACACACACACACACACAGCGAGAGAGACAAAGTAAACAAGGCTGACAGGTTGCCTAACCAGCCAGGCTAAGGCGGCCCGGCTGCCACGCCCCTACCTTTGCCGCAGCATCCAGCTGCTTCTGTTAACTGGGCCCACAGCCGCAGCCATTGGCGTCGCACAAATGGGGCATCATTGGCTAAAGGATTCAAATCGATTCCATCTCAATGAGACGCATTGACAGGATTGCAGAATTGATTCTACATAAATATGCCCTAATATCTAAGACTCTGTATATACACATGTATCTCTGTATCTAATATTCTCTATAGTCTGTAGACTCCCACTCTCTCTCTCTGCGCTGTAATCGAACCCCGCTAGGTGGCGCCACTGCCTGCGGTTGCAAACCTTATGACAGCGAACAGTTATGGCTAGCTGTATCTTTTGTATTTACTTGTGCGCCACATGCAACATGCAACAGCGACAGCGAGACGACTAGGTAAAGGGGACAGAAACAAGGACAGGCACAGGCACAGGCAGAGGCAGAGGCAGAGGCAGAGGCAGAGGCAGAGGCTGAGGCACGGCGACTGCAATGATAATGCGCCGAGGCGAAGGTCCCCATGGCAAGGAGCTCAGCCTCGACGCTGGGCTATCAAAATTGTTGCTTATTAAAATAAAATTTATTGCTTGTTTGCTGATAAAAATGAGGAAGATGAAGAAGAGGAAGAAGAAGATGAGTAGAAGTGGCTGAGAGAGCAGCCGGATGATGAAGCAGAAGAAGCAGAAACTTGGTTAGCCTCGTGTGGCACGTAAAAGTGTTAAAATGATAAGCAGCGCGCAAACATCAGGAATATTGCTGCAACAGGAAATGCAGCACCATAAAGCCATAAAGCCAAGGCGGAGCACAAAGCGAACAGCAGGAGGCGCAGCAGCGGGAGTAGGGAGCGAGCCAAGAATGAGAGCGAACTGCTCAAGACAGTCCGAGACAAAGGCAAATGCAAAATGCAATTAAAGCTGCAGAGGTGCAAAAGCAATGCAAATTTTTAATGAGCTCCTGCCCAATGCCGAGCGCCTGATGCTCGCTTTGAGCAAGCCTGCACTGAAGATTAGCCGACTGAGAGATCAAGCTCTTAGCCAAGGCAATAAACTGTTACGAGTCAGGCACAGCCGAGAGCTTAATACAGTCATGAGGAATATCAGCTTGAATCAATTTAAGGTACGTTTACTCACGTGAAGTAGAGCAAGAAGAGTCCCTAGAAAGAAGAGTCCCTCTTTAAAAATAGAATGAGATAGAGATATATCGATGCATATTCACAATTGTCAGACCTAGAGCCATGCCCGAGCCTATATACCCACTTTTGCGTTGCCCGGGCGCGCATCATTGCCGACCCGCTTAATGAGCAACTCGTTCAAGAGTCCGCAGATTCCGCAACTTCTTCAGCTTCAGCTCCAGCTTCAGCTTCAGCTTGTTCTTCTTCTTCCACTGCTCCTTCAGCTGCTGCACTCCATTGGAGTCGAGCTGTCTCTACTTGGACATGCCCGTCCAGGCCCTTGACAATGCCAGCCAGTCACAAGAGCAGCCGCCAACTGTCGCCAAGTAGTTCGAGTGGCTCAAGTTATTTTGGCTCACCCTAATTTGTGTATACCCCTCAAATGAAAGGCTTATGTGGGGCGTATCAGCATCGAACTGAAAAGTCAATCTGAATTGCCTTTGTCTACTTCCAATTTACTCTCCTGCACGCAGTGAAGATGTTCTGATTGATGAGAGTGATTGATTGATTGACTGAATCAGTCGGTTATTGATATTACTTCAAAAAGAAAGAACAGAGGATTGATTGACCAGTTTCTACATAGACTAGTTTCCAGAAGGACACTTACTGTTATGCGGAATACAGCTAATACAATGATTGACTCTGATTGACTGTCATGGATTTAGGGCGAAATACAGTGCTTGGTAAAGTTTATTTACATCAATCATCAGCTAGGGCAACTAAGCGATTAATTGATAGCTTGATTGAAGACTTGCTTGTTGGGTATACGATAGTTAGGGTATATTAGTATTCGATAGAGTAGAGTAAACGTATGTGCTCTGGGCCAGACTTCAAGTGCTGCGTCTAGACAGGCGAGTCGACAGCCGAATTCCAATCCGCAGAGCCGAATTCCAATCAGAAGGGAGCACTGCAACCCAATTGGCAATCAGCCTATGCGCCTAGCCACAGAGTTGACAAAGTGGATGAGCAGCGGCCGGCATTAGTAGTTCTTGTAGCCCATCTCGCTGAGCAGGGTGTTGCCGTCGGCGCTGGAGGAGGACGAGGACGAGGACGCGTCCTGCATGTTGCGCAATATGCGATGGCGGAAGTGCATTGTCCGCAGGCGCTGCATGCGCCGCTTCAGATTGCAGTAGACGGGGCAGCAGTCGGGGAAGGGCTTGTACATGAGGTCCTCCTCGTCGCCCTGCTCGCACTGCTCCGGCAGGATGTCCAGGCAGCTGGGGGAAAAAGCACAGAAAGCAAAAAGGTTCGCATTAGCCAGAGTCGAAGTCGGAGCCATGAGTCGTCATGCAGTCATGCAATCATGCAGTCATGCCGTCATGCAATTTTTGTTGAATAATCAAGTTTCACTACTCGTTCGGTCTAGACATTTTTTCCACTACGAAAATAGACCTGGAGCGCGGCATGATCTGATTGTTCTCGCAGAACAGGTTCGAGCAGAGGCTGAGCAGAACGAGCCGGCGCGGCAGGAACTTTGACTGCTCCCACATGCAGCGACGGTAGGAGCCTGCGAAGCGACAGAGACAGAGACAGAGACAGAGATGACAGAGATTACAGATATTCAGATATTCATATGGACAGATCTCTTACGTAACACGCTGTTGTCACTCTCGCTGGAGTCGTCGGGATTGTAGCCG